CCCCCCCCCCTCCCTAGATAAAAGCCCCCCTCAAGCTTTCTTTGTTTTGAATTTGTTTTGGTATGATGTTTTATAGCATAATTACCAGTAATTACCAGACTTCAAGCCACAAGCAGACCTTTCAAGACCTTACGACAGGATTTGTTTCCCCTTAGTCAAGACCGCCAGGGGATCTGCAAACAAATGTTGTTTATAAGATTCCCTGGGCAGATTGCCTGTGGAACTACGTAGGAGAAACTGGAAAGTGTTGACTAACCAGGAAGAAAGAATATATTACAAACACAAAAACATACAAAAAAGGTTCGAACATTGCCATTCACACATGGTTGAATGGCCACTCTGTTGACTTTAATAATGCCCATGTAATTGACAAGAGAAATTTTTGTGTGAGAAAAATACTGGAATTCTGGCATACTGCAATCACAGTTGAATCAGACTAAAACTCAAAACCATCACCCACACAATATTCAATTCCTTTATGAACTCTGTATTGGCATTTTATTTCCTCACAAGTATATGTTTGTTTTTATTGTATTTTTTTCTACTTCACACTTTTTACGGTATACATTTTAATGTCACGCTTTTTATTCATTGATTGTCAAAGATTGCAGATTGGCAATCAAAAGCCCTAGTAATTTTAAACTTTTTTTAACCAGAGAACATTTTTTTTAAATTTTGAACATGTCCTATCCTGATTGCTCATCCATTTTTAAATATTAAAGAAGCTTTATGACTACAATTTCTCAGTGGTGTGTTAATAACCAGTTTTAATCAAAAAAAACTTTTGCAAATGACAAAGTATCCAGTTGCTTGATTTTGAGACCACCCTTTAAAGTCTCACCCTTTAAAGCTTGAAAAATATAACTTTTCGAAGCCTACTGAATATGACAAAAACTATCGCCATTTGGTAGAATTCTACAAGTATGCAAATGCTGTAATCTGATTGGCTGAGCCATTGCACACTATCAGCCATTAGTTTTCAGTGGCTTGGTGTGGTCAAAAAAAATTGCAATGTTTCCTCATTTCTCCAAAGTTTTCAAAGAACATTCAGAAACAAATGAAACAAAATTCCTAAGAAGACTAAAAGGAGGGCATTTATGGTTTCTTGAATTAAAAAGCTCAACAGTTTTTACAGAAACTGATAAGTGTCCATACACAACTGCAAATGTCAAATTGAAATTCAGTCTGTGCAAATTCTCCACAGCATGAAGTTTAATAGTAAGACCAGAAATAATTGGAATCATTATTTGAAGGAAAATTCAGTGAGAATTCCAGTAAAACAATTAGATTATTCACTCTTGATTTCTATGAGGTGATAGTTGATGAGGCCTTAGGCCTCATCAACTATCACCTCAGAAATCTCGAGCTCATAATCTAATTATTAAATACAGCTGATTCTATGTTCCTGGACAACAGGCAATTTCTCACCCTACCCAGGTATACAAATACGTATCAGCAACTTAAATGCTTGGAAGCAACTCTTTAGTGAATCAGCATCCTATCTAGGGGGAGTACAAATACTCCTAGGCACTTTTGGTTTGGAAACTCTAGAAGAGTGCTGACATGACCTGCTACTAGGTTCTTTATAGGCATTGTACCTGTGACTAGTGTGATGGCATCAAAATTACCTGCCAAGCCAAAAACAAAGCCAACATATTTGTCTATTTTTATAGTGTATCATGCATGGACGAACATTTTCTAAGCATTAATGCCTCCATGTTTAAAATTCTTCAGTTTTCCAATTCCTGCATTTGTTGTCAAGTGTTAAGTCTTGTTTACTAGACATATTTGAATGAGTGAAACAATTGCATTTGATCTTGACACTTGTCCACTCCTTTACTGGAAATACAAATCACAGTAACCGTTGATCTCTTCATCTGGGAACATAGAAGATATCATTTAGCAAATTAATGGAAAATGGTGTTTCATGTACTACTTCTACAGGGAGAGTGAGTATTTCATTGGGGTATCCAAACACCAAGAGACAATTGAAAGTACGAGACCATGGGCCAAGTGCTTTTACTGTTTCAAGGTTGGGTTTTTTTCAAGATTCCAGTGAGATAAACTCATTACATAAAATTTTGCCTGATTTGTGCTCTGCAGTTGAGATAAAGAAAACAACAGCCCACTATCTTGGGCTTACATGTGCTTCTAGGTTATTCCAGAGTGAAGTAGATAAAAAACTTATTAGAGAGCATTACCGGACATGTTTCTAATACACTGTTTAGGTATGAAAAGGCCAGGGAAGATCAAGCTTAACTTGTTTCTAACATTTTGAGTGTAGATGAAAACAGTAATAGCCTTAAAGAAGACATTCAAACAGTAGTTCCTGTAGAAGAAGAGACTGATGACAAACGTGAACAAAACTTTTTTTCTGTTTTCAAAGCTTCAAAGTTTAATGATTATTGTGATATGAATGTTTTTGTAAATAAGCTGAAATAAGAAAGGTAAAGATAATACTGGCTAATAAATATTCATTGTTGTGAGCACCTTGTAAATGATCATGCATAATTATTTTAATCAAATGGTATATACCTCTCTCACTGGAGAATGATACATTGTGTTTCATTGGGTACATCCAAACGCTTGCATGCACTTGATGTGGTATACATCCAGTGATAGGTAGTTGACTTAATGAATTATTAATGAGTTTGAGAAGTTCTTAAAAAAGAAAATAGTGCATGCTTGAGGCCTAGACTACAAGTAGAAACACGAGCAAAACATGTGATTGTATATAATTCAGTAGTTTTTCTAGACCTCAAAAGTGCATTATTTTCTTGAAAAAAAAAACAGAAACACCAGGCCATCTTCTATTTGGTTTAGATTATAGCATGAAAAAGTGAAAATATTTGCATTTGACATACGTGCTCTATAATTTCCAGCTCCAACAGTGGGTGTACAGCAGTTATATTCTAGTAAACAACACATTATGAAACTTTTTGTTGAACTGTATTCACAAGTTGATATACATGTATAAACAATTTGAGAAAGTTGCCAAGAGTCTGAAATTAGCAAGAGTCATTTCTCATTCTGTATTGCTTGCATATTAATGCAAAATGGTTTTCTTGTCAGATTTCTTTGGTCCAAACCAATAAACCTAATAATGGTCCAAGTGAATTTGCTGACATGTGGAAAGAACTGAAAGTCAAAGAAAGCAGTCCTTCTGGCCATGGCACCAGTACTTATCCAAACACCAACACTGCCCCAGTACACAAGGACTATAGAGAGAAAGAAATAGCAGAGAGTGACTTGATGATCAAGGTTAAAATTTGCTAAATAATCTCAAATTATGTCTATTTACATTTAATGATCACACTACCATCAGCAAGCTATGTCTAAGTGGCACTTGTTTTGTGAGGCTGGTATATATTAATTTATTATATCTCTCAGTTAGTACGCACACCGTGATTGGTCAATTTAGTGGGTCGTACTCTCCTGTACAGCTGTCTAAAATTTAAAGTTGGTTTTGTTGCCAAACTGTTTCGTGATTTATCAAAAAGTGTTCTTAACTTTTATAGCAAGTGAAAGTTTAAAACTTTCTGATACTCTAAACTATGTAATAAAGTATGCTAACAACTTAAAACAGTTTCAAACTGACTCGTTTTACTTTCGAGGTGTGTCAGAAATTTGAAGCCTTTCCGAGTCTGCATGAATAGAAATCATTCCCGAACCTGTCGAGCACACAGTGGAGATATAATAAATCTTACTAACCTCGTCTTCTCGGTCCGTACTGTAAGTTACGGATCCTCATTTTTTCCCCTTCGAATTATGACCCGTACACTTCGCGCTTTCATCTCCGGATCGAGCGGTCCGGGTTCGAGCCCTGGCCGGGGACATTGTGTTGTGTTCTTGGGCAAGACCCTTTACTCTCACAGTGCCTCTCTCCACCCAGGTGTATAAATGGGTACCGGCGAACTTAATGCTGGGGGTAACCCTGCAATGGACTAGCATCCCATCCAGGGGGGAGTAGAAATACTCCTAGTCGCTTCATGCTACAGAAACCAGGATAAGCTCCGGCCTGATGGGCCACTTGGCTCACATGCAGACTTTACCTTTTACTTTACACTTCGCACTTGGGCCATAAATCAAAGGGGAAAAAACTTGGTCCATAACTTACAGTACAGTGGCAATAGCCACTGAAGCATATCCCAACTAAGCGTGCCAAAATAACCTCCCTACAACAACCAGTTAAACAACAACTAACAAACAATGTATACAACACCCCATTTTTGCTGTAAAAGGTCACAAAGCTTGATCAGCATCACATGTCATTAATCTTTGTTTCTGTTTTGGGTTCTATTTTATTATATGTTGATCTTGTTACAGAATTTATGCCACAATTTACATTGTTTTTGAAATAGAAATGTTGCACACCGAAAAAAGGCAGGTGTCATAATTCTTTAGAGTTCAGGGCTAGGTTGTTCAAAAGCTGGTTAATGCTAACCCAGGATTAAAAGTTAACCAAAGTATAAATTTGTCTCGTATACAAATGTTTTTCACTGCTCATGTTTTGTGTATTTTGAGATTATACAAACTCAAAACAGAAGGCCAAACAATATAAACAGAAAATCTCACCGCAAAGTTACAAAAGTCAAATCAAAATTTTCGCTTATCTTGGGTTAGTATAATCGGGCTTTGAACAACCCAGCCCAGAGTGTCAATAATTGCCTCAAAAATATTTTGGATAAATATGAGGTAAATCATTGTGGGCTCTTATTAGGAAGGAACACAGGCTCTCCGTGAGATGCTTCAGATTGGTGAGCCCCAAAGACATGATGTGGAGAAGCAGCAAGCTAGACCAGCACCAGTCAGCCATGGCAAACAGCTCTCACTGGATGAATTATTCAGCAATCAAAGTAAGGTCAAACCTGGTTTAGCTTGGAACTCAGACAGATCTGTGGCTGCTGTTTCACACTGCCAAAATAAACTATCTATGAACAATTTCCTTATTTTCAAACCTTTGGTATTCTTGCTGACCAAATGTGGGCAATGAATGAGTTGCCAGTAATCGGATACCCGTGTTTGCGAAAAGAACTCTGGGATCGTCAGGGGGCAAACATTGCAAGTCGCTAGAAGGAAATGTANAACATTGCCCAAATCCATTTGCGATAAAAACGACGACGAAAAAGCATTAATCTCTCTCAAAAATCGTTTTCTTGTACCTCGAAACAACTTTTCGCCATACATTTCCTTCTAGTGACCAGCAATGTTTGCCCCCTGACGATCCCAGAGTTCTTCGCGCAAACACGGGTATCCGATTACTGGCAACTCATTCATTGGCATATAGGAATGAGTCAGCATTTTATGACATAATTTTACATGTTCATTCTCATCAAAGCAGTGAACGAGACTCCAAAGAAATAATTTATTGTAATTCCCTTCAGAAGCAAGTGTGAAGCAAAATAGGTTGGAGGATGGAATTAAATTGAGAATGGCAAATATACAAATTCCACAAAACGTAGGTCAGTTAATATCAGTTTTACATTTCCACAGGTTTCCTTTGCAATTCTGTTGGTACTCAGACAATGGTGACAATGACGATTTCTATTTTTACAGTGACTGTCAAATTGAATTTCTCGCACAATTATTGGCAAATTTTTATTGTCAATAAGAATGCAGACACATGGCTTGTGGGTCTTGAAAATTTTGCAGAATTGCTTACAATTCTTAATCAGGGTGAGCAACAAACGACATCTAAATGGGGCTCTTTTTAAGAAAAAGTTATCAAAATAGTTTAAGGTGATTTTTTAATTTAGATTGGATTCAGCTGTAAAGCAGAAAAAACATTACAAATTGATGCAGAACATGCTGAATCTGAACTGTCTTTTATTTACTGTGTTCAGAGTGAACATGAGTGAACTAAATGCAATGTAACAGTGCATTTTGGTGAACTCTTAGTGTAACAATAAATTAGCTGTAACATTTCTGCATCTAGAGAGGAAAACAGAACAGGTGTTTTGGAGAAGAGGTAAAAAAACTACAAGGATGGGAGAGGATTACAATTCAGTAAGATTTACTTTGTGACAGAATGTCAAGAAATCAAGCTAAATGTTACAATTCTTGCTGAAGGTTGAATGTTTTACTCATGGTGTATTTCTTTTTCCTTTTAGTTCATATTTCTTTGTTTTCAGCACTTCGCTTTTTTTCTTTCTGTTAGAAAACAACTTTATTTGAAGCTCATGGCCATACATTTACCTATTAAAACACATTACAGTGTATAGCAGCAGGGACACTGCCCCTTTAATGCATCTGTCCTTTTGTTAATGATGTATCATCACAACATTGTCAAATTACAGTTGAACCCCACTATTTTGAATCTTTAGGGGAAATGAAAAGTAGTTTGAAATGGCAGGAGTTCAAAATAAATTTTTGTAAATGAATGAAAGGTGAAACCAAGGGAACTGGTTTTGAGTTTGAAAGAGGGAATTCCAAATAATTGAGTTCAAATTGACGGGGTCCAACTGTAGTCTGGGAATTCACTTCGCTACTCCTGGTAGCAACTCAGACAGTGTTATAATAAAATTCATTATCAATAACAGGCAGATTCAGGAAAAACTGGCCTCAACTTGCCAAGTTTTTCTCCTGTCCAAATAGGCGTAAATAGCTGTTATTGCAGTTATCAGCGACTTGACACACAAACGAGGCGAAAGGGTCAATTCTGCATTGTATTTTCCCTTTTGCCTCGTTTGCATGCCTTTTAAAACAAAAGAATATTTGACCACAGACTCAACTCCAGTAACAGCCATTGCAAAGAAAACAGTTTGGATAATCCTTGAAATGTGAAAGACTCACCATCACATCCATTTTTCATGGCATACAAGGCACCCAATAATGGTATATTTTGGCATTGTGAAAGCTGGACATCTGTCTGACTCCACAGGCTGAAATCAATTTGCAAAGTATGCTATTCAGATACACTTGTGGTTTGTAAATCTCTGAGTTTTAAAGCTGATTTGTCTGAAGGTTCTTCACAAGTCACTGTCCAACAGTTTCCACAGTTACCTTTACCACTTCCCTCTGGGTAAGTGCTCTTGTAGTAAGTTTGCAAATCATGGCATTAAAAAACCAAGGCATTACTTGTTGGCAAGAGTTCAAGAGTTCAAGAGTTTTTAAGAGATACTGATACTGCATAGGTTATAGAGGTTTTAAATCTTGATACCAAAAGCTCATACAATTACTGAACTAAAAGCTTTTACTCTTAACATTAGATCCTTATCATGTAAATCAGGTTTTTTTGTTCACCCTAAGCAATACTTTAGTTAGACAAAATGTATTTTAACTGCCAGCTTTTTCCAAGTCAAAGTTGTGAGTAGTTTGTCCTAAGAATATTAGGATTTCTAAAGACAACCTGGCAATCCCTTGCATTTCTTCTTAACAGAATTGGAAAATCTAGTGTATTTTGTCCACAAACAACGTCAAGATTTTGTAACTTAAAGACAGTGAAAAAAAGATGCCATGCTCAGGTTATGTGACTTTGTATGCAGGGTTAATTAGACCATTGACAGCTATCAGCTACAAATAGAACTATGAGGAATTATATTATCCTTAACTTTTTAAAAGGTGGTGGGTTTTTGAAAGGGTTTGGAGATGAAAAGAAAAGTATACAAGTTTAAGAAAAGTATTTTCTATTTCAAGAAAAGTATTCTTAAGGTAGACCTGGCCAGCCGCTGCACGTAGAAGCTCGACCCATATTAATATGTTTAAGATTTCTCTTTGTTAAATTATTTTTATATATATGTGTTTTTATATTTTATCGATGTTAACAGTAATTATGCATTTTTAATATTATTCATTGTAATTTATTTTATTTCTTTTTTATGTTGTGACTAGACCTGTAAAGTAGCTTTCTATGTAGCTAAGAGTCAGTCACTTTAAGGTGATTCCTCAGTATTGTATTGCGCATCCCCAGCTGGGCACAATTTTCGTGTCATTAGTGCACGTAAATGAGTGTGTACACATACACAACGTAAGAGATTTCCCTCAAGCTACGCTTGACAGTGAAATAAATGCTCGGTTTCTCTTAAATGAGCATGGTGACCTATATTTGTTATTGCATAATTTTGGTGTACAAATTATCCTCTTTAAGTTAAAAAATTAAGAAAAAAATTGTTTGGAATGAAAAAAAAACAATGTAGCTAATAGAGTGCACAAAACCAATATGCAAGGATGTGAAATATGACCTTGAAAACAATGTTTCGAGGAACATTGTTTAGAATTGTGTGATTTTCCCATAAATTATATATTACATTGTTCCATGTGCCTGATACTTTCTACTTATCAAGATTTTTTCAAGTATTGCTTTAATAATTTTTGCTTCCACCCACTGCAAAATGTAGCTTGAACTGATGAAATAATGCATGTGATTAGGCATAAATGAGGTAAGATCAGCCCATCATATCTCTTTAGCAACAATGGTGACCTATCTTACGTTTTTTATCGCATTTTCAATACAGTGCCTGGTAGGGAACATTCAGGGAAAGTTTCAAAAAAATTGTTCGGCTACTTTTATTTCTGAGGAATCACCTTAATAAAGTCTTACTTACTGACAGACGGACCGACCAACCGACTGACCGCTAGAAACAGAAAATAACTGTTTTGTTAATATTTTAACACTGTTGTTTTCTTTTGGGTTTTAGGAACCTTGCATCAGTTTACTTATTACGCTGGTGTTATTCTTTTGGTCTTCCACCTCCTTACTATCACTACACTCCTGCTCCTCAGGTTTGTTTCTTTCCTTGCAAGCTTTGTGTTGGAGTCTGCTTTTCCTGTGCATGACTACATTGTATGCAAGTGACAGCAGAGATATATGTGGCAAAAAGTAAAGTACTGTTGTAACCCCACTGTATCTTCATGCCTGACAATAGACCCTTTGCATAATTGGCACCTGAATTTGAAAAACAATATTTTGTACAGCCACAGCCTTGTACTTATTTGTCCACACAAAGGATTGATTTTTCACATGAATGCGAGGCTTAGGATGTATAAGTGTTGTTATTCAAATATTGGCACCATTTATGCAAATGGCTTATCTTGTGATTTTTGTGGATCTGGTAATCAAAGTCTGGTTGTTTCTTGCTGTTCACCAAATGACCAATGATCTAATTATTTGCAGTATAACTTGCTTCCATGGAGTATTCAGGAACATTTGAAGAGTTTCCATACAACAAACCTTTCTGAAATCTCTGCTAAAATTCCATTTTTTAAGTATTGCAATAAATACTAGAGATTTTTTTAAACAATTTTATTGATATTGTTCAACTTTTTACATATGCATCACTACATTAAGTACATTACAAAGCTTAAAAGAAACTAAAGGAAAGCACTGAAAAAATATAAAGTGGCACCGATGTACTCAAGCACAAAACCATTGAACTTTTAGGTATAGAGTATATTACATTTCTACAAAAATTAACTAGTAACACAATATATTAAAAGTCAGAAGTATCCTCATACGAGTAGCTTTCTTTTGAGATGATTCTCATTGGTTAATTTTTGGTCTAGTTTTTTGACAAATTCATTAATATTATAACCTTTAGAATACATTTTCTGGTACAATAAATAGTATTTGGCAAGCAATAAACAATAATTAAATTTAAGCTCATTATTTCTTTGAGTGTTCAGAGCTGTTGCAAACAATTTTGGTGTGACATTGGGCAAAAAAAGTTAAATTTTGCATTAAACCAATCAACAACTTTAACATAGAAAGCTTGAGTATACTGGCATTCCAGGAAACTATTGAGAATAGAGTCTGGCTCTTTACAATAAAAACATCTATTTTTGTCATTTAAACCATAAGTGCACAATTTCTTCTTAGTAACAGTTAATCTGTGGAATAGCTTGAAATTAAATTCTCTTAATATTATTTTCACGGGATATTTTTCCAATGTTAGTAAATTTTGTCTTCCAATCAGTGCTCTCTAAGTTCGATTATTTTTCCCATTTTTGCAGTCCTGTTGCAATACGGGCACTGGCACTGATATAAAGCCAATAGTAATCCTTACACTTCATTTTGTATAGATCGATGTTCAACGACAGAGAGAGAAATGTAGTTTTGTCAGCTGAGAGGCTTTTATGCCTATTTAGGGATCTTGCTTTATGTAGTAGATGATTAGGGATTGCCAAAATAACCTGTAAGTAAGTTGAAAAGTTACATTTTACCTTGAATTTTCCTTGGAGTGTTTTAAGCGTTAGAGGCTTTCTATTGCTATCCAAAATATCCTGAATAAAGATGGCACCTGTTTCTTTCCATTTCTGTACAGATGATGGAAGTGAGATGAATTTCTTAACTTGTGAGGGAATTTTCTCGATGTTTGAAAACTTGAGAAACCCTTATGAAAATCTATTTTAACACGAAATCAAAACTGCTCTATCTTTTTAAATATTGGAGACCTACAGTAAGGGTTTGAACATTGATCAATGACTAAACTTTGCATGCTGGTTACTTTCATCTGAGCGAGCAATGAGCGACTTCCAACTTGACTTCACAACAATAGACCTAACCGTTTGTAATAAATGCACATTAAATGATTGTGGCTTTGTCTTGCAAACGAGGTACCTCTCAATTAAGCCAAAACAGCAAACAAAGATGTTAGTTTCCCGTAATTTAAAACTGAGTTGTAAAAAGGAGTTCTTTGAGCAGATACATGTATTCTTACCTCAAAAAGGACAAAAATGGCAAGAGGGTTGATAAGCGGAGGCCATATTGCTGACAAACAAGGGAAACTAGCTCAGTGCACAATGCATGACAGTTGAATCTCCTCCTTTGCTCCATGTGTTGGCGGTAAATAAATTTTGTACTGCTGAATGTTTGGTCAAAAATTTTACCATCAATTTTGCGAAGAAATAATTGCAACAGAAAAATTACATAGAATTGCAAATTGCTCACACAGAGCAGACAGATATTACCTCACTATCATTTCATTGCACCAAGCTAAAATGGCATAACTCGCTTACCGGTAAGTTAAGTGGAGTTACTGGTAAAGTTATTTAATGTGTTAAGGTACCATCGTTTTTTAATTTTTGTGCCTTTATCTAACCTGAAACAATATATCCAACAAAAAGCAGTAATAAAACGGATTCGTGGGTTGTTTCCATTCAATGGAAAATCCTGGTTTGAATAATTTGGAAATTTCTACTGACAAATAAAACGGCATTTTCCAGAATTTACGGAAAAGAGGAATACCTCATAAGATATACCCAAATTTTTGGGCAATTTCTTACAGGGGATTTCCATCCCATTTGAATTTCTTGCCAGTATTTCAGAATTTTCGGTCGAATGTTTCGCTTTTCAGAAATTCGACAATTTTCCAGAACATATCCATACAATTTGGAGAAATTGCACAAAAAAACTGGGGCTATTATTTTCTTTTTACAATTTTCTTTTGTGATAAAACAGTTATGAGTAAGACTTTCTAGTGTTATTTCTTCTTTTCATATGTAAAAAAAATGTAAATCTTATTTATAGTGGTCATGCACTTAGCTATACAAGCACTAAGCTTAGCTAGTTTACAGGCATGCCACTGAAACAAAGGAAACAAATATTTCAAATTAACGTAACATAGTTAAAAATCCCAACTGGCAGGAGGCCGACCAGTTGGCTATTTACAAAGCGTGACCGACAATTTGAACTCAGGACTACCGAAAAACAAATCCTGATAGTGGCAGTGTGGACACCAGTGCCCTAGACCACTCGGCCATGCTGCCTCCTCAACAGTTAAAATTGTGCACCATGCCACATTTTGTTGCCATGCATGCACCGAAGTTTTGCAGAAGTTGTTGTTCACATTACAACTTAACATAGAAAGGATACTTTTGCATTTTTTTCCACACTATATTTTTTTCAAACTAGCTTAGAATCTTAGAATCACCTCAGAGCCACCTTAATTTTTTGAAAATTTAAAATTTCGATAGAATTTTTTAAATTTTGCCAAAAGTTACATCTTTTGCTTGCCTAGCTCGTTTTTGAGGTATAAGCACTTAAAGCTAAAAGTAAGGGTGTTTTTAACAGGGGTTGCTGTTACTATGATAACCTACTTTGTCATAAAGATTGCCATTATTGGTTTACCATATTGGTTTACCAATGGCTTGGCATTATTGTGAAAGCAATATTGTAGCATCTCTTCATAAACAGTGCTGGTATTTATTCGTCAATAGCTGTTGGAAAAGTGCTGGAAACTGTTTTCAGCTTCCTTAATATAATGCCCTCTAAGTTGGCTGTCACAATTTGCCTGTAGGGAGTGATTGCTACAGTAGAGTTGGCCAATGGATTTAAATTTCCTGGTAGTGCTTGTCGTGATCAAGGTGAAGCTCTAGAGAGTGCTGCATCTGTAGCCCTGTTTCAACTGGTAAGAACTTCATGACTGTTACCAGAAGTATCTGAACTATTCTTGAAAACAGACAAAAATGGAGGATTTGTGAGTATCTTGTAGGTGAAAGTGTATCTTGTTTCTAGGAGCTACAAGAAGATGGTAATTCACACTCAACATATCTAACACTTGAAATCATAAATTGTAATCCACTGTGAAGAGTTCAAGATTATATAGGTATCCTAATTAATATCAGTGGGAGATGTTAGTTTATTTGCTTTGTTATACGTAATTAATAAGTCGGGAAGTGGGCAAGTTGACATGAAGTATTATTACAATAAAATTTGTTCGCAAAGTACCTTTTTCATGCAAATATTAGCTGTTCACTGCTCCTTGTACTCATTTTATGTTCGTTTTCATTTTAATACCTTTTGTACTCATTTCACATAACCTGTGTACATTTGAACAACCTGGTGAGAAAAGGTATAAATGTTGAAACATGGTGCCCCATAACCTAATGCAGGTTTTGTTTCAGCCACAAATCATGCCAAACATCCTAAGCCCTCAACATGCAACCATGCAGCAACAGTTTTCTCCAGGCTTCTTATCTTCTCCACCACAACCAGTTATGCCACCAGCCTTCCAAGGATTTGTTTCATTGCCGTCTTCAAGAGTACAAGCTATTCATCATCAGTCATCCCAGCCTCAACCCAGCACAGGAAATGGAAAATTTACAGTCACACCAATTAAAGAGCCTCTTATTAAGCAAGGAGTTAGTCAACCTCTTAGCTCTTCAGCAGTACCATTCATCCCACTGCAGGTGTGGTACCTCGTTCAAATGAACTATTTAAACCTTACTTAAACTGTTTTATCATGATTGTGATTGTGATTGTGATCATGATTGATTGCGATCATCAATGTGATCATGATGATGATGATTATGATCATGATTATGATTATGATTGTGATCATGATTACGATTGTGGTCATGATTATGATTGTGATTGTGATTATACTGATTGTGATTATGATTAAGATCGTGATTAAGATTAAGATTGTGATTAAAAAAATAAAAGAAATTTATTGACCACTCCCCCAATGGGGCTTTTCAGGGCCAATGAAACAAATAATGCAAAAGCACATAACATGGTTAAAAATCCAAACTGGCAGGAGACAGAACAGTCTGCTATTTACAAGCATGACCGAGAAGTTGAACTAGGGTCTACCGAGAAACAACTCCAGCTAAGTGGTCAGAGCAGGACTTGAACCTGCGACCTCTGGATTTCAAGTCTGGTGCCCTAACCACTCGGCCATGCTGCCTCCATATATGATTATGATAGCCTAGTAGGAAGCTGGCAGGTTTGCTTGCAAGTCCATCATTTTAGAGGCGAGTCTTAAACAAAAGCGGCATACCTGCCTGCATAGCTGCTTTGCCAGAGAAAAAAAGCACCTGTTTGCGAAAATCTGCCAGCTAAATATCATGATTTTGTTACATCTCGGATTGCAAAAGCCTCCAAAACAAAGTGACTTCAACACATTTGGGTTGAATTTTGTTAGCCTGTAAGCAGGCTCCTGGTGGGCGCACAGGCTAGACTTTTCTTTGTTTTGCATGTTTTGCATTTCTGTTTCCCATGTGTAGCTTCCCATCTTTCTACCATGTGTCCCATTCATGCAAGCAAAGGGGTGTTGAAGGCACAAATGTAATAACCAGTCACAAATGTAATAAAGGTCACAAGTGTAACAACAATTGGTCACAAATGTGATAAAGGTCACAAGTGTAATAACAATTGGTCACAAATGTAATAAAAGTCACAAGAACAATCACAGCTGGGCAGTAACCTAACAAATATCTTGGGGAAGATAATTAAGAAAGCACATGTGCTATCTGTCTCCCCTTCAATTGAAAGAAAAAAAGAAGCAACGAAACGTTACGCAGATTGCAATGAAACTTTGCATAATTATGGTAAGTTCTATTTACGCTCTTTTGTAAGCTTGTTTATTGTTTCATGAGCTTTTAAGACAAAGTTTTGTTGTTGCAATCTACTGGAAGATTTAAGACAGCCTGTGATGTCAAGCAATGGTTTAATCGTCAAAATTTGAAAATGTTGACAATTTTATTCATTGCATTGGTTATAATCTCCACAACAACGTTCATTTAGAACAGTTCAAAGGAAATTAACATTTCTTTATTAATGAGAAGCCATACATACACAACGATTATGGCTGGGAATCCGTACACAAAAAAGCACTTTGTCTACGGGAACATTCAACCTTATTCTAAACGCAGCTTCCCTCTCACAAAACTCGGAGTACAATAAATCGAAATTGTCAACGAAACAGATTTAAAGCTAGAAAAGCTGTAATTGTTGGTTATTCGGCATTTTGAAAGACTTCTGACGAATAATAGTAACCTATGTGTGCTGCAGGATATCTGTCATGTGCAGATGACAAATGACGATCTTTTCACGACCAAACGATCAAAATGTGACTAAAACAAAAAAAATTGCTTCATGATATGGACAACATTACCGTTTTTATTTGTTGAATAATAAAACAATTATTCTGCTCGACCTTGCAGAATATCGTCTGATTTTAGCCAATTTGGCCTACGACCTCGTCAGCTAAGTATCAGGCGATATTCCACGTGATTTCACTGGATAATCTACAATTTCTATTGAAACTAATATTGACTAATAAATATCCACTGAAAACAACTGATTGCCTAACAAGATCTGAAAACCGAAACAGATTTCTGTTCGTGCAATTACCGATACAGATCAAAAACATTGATTAAGGATCAACACAAACGTATGGCATCATAACAATAAAACTAGTCAACATGATAACAGTAACAACAGCAAACAAAACAGCAATATTGGATAACGCAATTATAGTGGTGTCTTCAGCGCAGTTTTAAATGTGGGTGTTTCCGGTGTTCCTCCAGAAAATTCCAGATATTGCAAACCAACCATATTCTCGAGGAACTAATTTCACCCACACATGATACCATTTACGGGAATTGATTACTTCTGGAAGGCGTTCAACAGCACTACTACATCTCCCCCTTCAGCATTACTAATTTTCGTATGCTTATAACGACCCTTTTCTCACCAAGTTCAGGAATGTATACTTCAGGGCAAGGCATCTTATTCACTGTTGCTCTGAAGAATGAATTCACAGCTCTTAAAGACGATCTCATAAAAGGGATGGCCAACAGGGTAATTTTGATGATAGTTTCCAACACATCGTTGTTCAAAAATTGCTGTGAGTAGCCTGATTGTACTCCGTTTTGTAGCTCCTTGTCTCTGTCCCCTCTACTTCCGCCAACTCCACCTGTGTCCTCACCACTGGTACTTCTGCCAACACCATCTATGTCCTTGCTACTTCTGCCAACTCCATCTATGTTCCCACCACTTCCACCAACTCCATCTGAGTCCTCACCACTTCTGCCAACACCATGTATGCCCTCACTACTTCCGCCATTTCCATCTATGTTCCCACCACTTCCACCAACTCCAATTATGTTCCCACTACTTCCGCCAACTCCATCTATGTTCCCACCACTTCCGCCAACTCCATCTGTGTCGCCACTACTTCCACCAACCCGCTTGTGTCCCCTCTACGTCCGCATAATCCACCTATGTCCCTACTCCTGCCAACACCAGCTGTGTCGCTCTCAATTCGCCATTTTCTAAACGAGCGGTAATCTGGGTACGAGTTGCGACCGCAAAGCCACTAGGGATCGTTTGGAGGGACAGCGAAGAGAAAAAACATGGCGTCGCACTACAACTGTTGTGTTCCTAACTGCAATAATAGTTTTAGAAATGCGCCTGAACTTCACTACTACAGAATTCCTAAAGAGCCTGCTATACGGAAAAGGTGTGTAGTCCTCATACGGAACGAAACGCTGAAATTAGACAAGGAAAGCACGCGTATTTGCTCTGCTCANAGTGGATAGAGCGCCCGCCCGGTGTTCGGGAGGTCATGGGTTCGATTCCTGTTGGGGACTCAGAATTTTCCTTTGTCCCACGCTGGTGTCATGTTGATTAATTCACCTTCACATAAATAAGGTTGTTATGCAACTACTTATAGAAGGATTTACAAAACCGTTTAATACAAGTACATTTACATAGTTTGACTGACACTAGGAGCTATGATTTACTAGAGATAAACTAAACTATGGGTTGAAATTAATCAGGAACTAAATTCAAGAACTTGAGTGAGGGTTTCGACTTTAACATAGTCATCCCTATCTGAAATCTTTATTACACTTGTACATTTCTTATTACATTTGTGACTGGTTATTACATTCGTGCCTTCAACAGGGGTAATTTTGTGCGTAATGATACTCGCAATTGAACAAATCGCGCTTACGCTTCGCAGTCATCCGATATGTTCAATCATGAGACCGATTATGGACAGAATTGGATGGCACCTTTTAATAACTAGTGAGACAATCTCAAATAGTGCAGAGTGCAATTGATAGCTCTAGCACGGTAGTCTCATAAGTATTCACGCCTGCTTGGTTCACTTCCGGTTTGTATCTACTTGGGTAGTCTGCTAGGGCTTTTCCCCTTTATAGCAGTGTGTATGTTTCAAGGTTGTGTTTTCATTCAAGGTCCGAAAATTACGTACAATTATAGTTTGTCACGGCAGCTTTTAAATTTTACTCTGGTGTTTTACGATGATTTTCGTTCATTTTAAATTCAATAAGACGTTGAACAAACGTGACAATTTAGCTCTTCGCACCAACTTTGTAACTTGATACTTTGTTTTCCTCGCAAAGGTATATAACATGAAACCCTTGTTTTCTCCAAAACACACGGAAGATGTGCTTGTTTTTTGGCGATAAATGAAAGAAAGTTAAATATCTGACGAAGAAATGGAAGAGAAACTATTTTTTTTCTCAAAACGCAAATTTTCTCATCACCGATGAACAAGAACTAATTTAATTATCAAATAGTCACGGAATACCACTTTCTTTTCCCGTTGCCACCTTTGTTGTTAACTATAAAACAATTCAAAACTAATACACAACAATATTGATTGATACAACTGAGAAGCATTTCAACGAGAAGTATTGACGGTAAACAGCGCTACTTGGCCGATATTATCCTGTAGCGGTGAACGAGTCTCCTCAAGGACTGATTAATTTAATTTGCGCTTTCATTAGGTGCCACGAAGTCTGCAGCAATCTTTGTTTCTTTTGTCACAAATTAAAAATTTGCAGAATATTGAAGCCACTATTTTGGGAACTTTTTGGTCTCTCTTACAGATGAAATTAAGGCAAGAAATAAACAAGCCGCTAAGGAGAAGCTATACATTTCCCTTCTTTATTTAAACCCAGACAAACATACTATTGTAGTTTGAAAACAGCAGATGATATTTGTTCAACCGACCTTTGGCGGCTCTGGGTAATTCTAAAAGATACTTTTCACTTTTGCACTAAAAAGGGACAAGTGGCACTACCTAACATCGCATGACATATAAAAAACGGCGTGCTAGAACGCATGCCTCTTACATGTTACATGTTAGGTTCTACCATATGGAAAACCAATTAACATTTTTGTGTGAATCTGTCTGCAATATATCCTCCATCTAGTATATAGAAGACACGAACGCTAACTAATCTGCGCATGCGTTTAGAGCAAATTGGTTTTGTTCTAAACGGAATAGTACCACAGGAAGAGCAAGGGGTTACTTGAAAGAAATATTTAGCTTTGCGATATTCACACCTAACTGATGTAGATGGAACACGTCTTACCTAGGGTACACATGTACCTTTCCCACCTCACCCCCACCACTTCTTCGTCTCTAGACTAATTAATTAATTGAAATTAATTAATTAAACAAACATTAAAGTTTACACCTTAGCACCATAGTGCCATGGAGCCTTAGTACCTTAGCGACAGGCAGCCCCCAGAACCATCCCAATAGTGCACTCTGCACTAGAAATGATAACACAATTTGACAATTTAATGTCTTGATAGCTTAAAAAACATGAGTTTCTTTTGATCAAGATGTGCGAGTAGAGGAACCCGTCAAGTATATCTGTCCGAAATACAGCAGGCACAAAATGATGCAGCCATCAACTAAGATGTATAGCACGTACACTGCCCTGTTTAGGCCAGGTTGGCTAATATGAGGCCTATTCTTTATCAGATGAAAAATTTTGTATTGTTTTGATTAATGGTGAAACAGAAAGGTAATAGTTTGTTCAATGTCATTTATAGTCGAAAAGGGGCAGTAGACCAATCAGATTGCAGGAAAATTTTAATGGACCAATCAGAAAGCCGTATTTAGCCGACGTGACCAACGAAAGGGCCGCCTGAAAAATCTGTCCCATTCCCCTAACCAGAAGTCACGGTCACTAATGCGCTTGGTTCGCCCCAGTCTCCCGAACAAAAGAGTCATAAATTCAAATAAAAGGGGTTTTAATTTTGGATTTGACAGTTTTACAAAGTAGTTTCCGGTCGACTTAAAGGGGCTCAGTCACGATTTGCTCATATTGAAAAGTTTAGCCTCAATTTTTCAAATTCGTTGTTCGTAATCCGTGTTAATCTTCTCCATCCTTAGCCATCCTTGTTCCTTTATGGTTTATCATTATCTCTTTAGTGTTTTTCTATCCTATTAAATTGTTATTTTCAGGTTTCCTGCCATTTAAAGGTAATTTTGTACGTAGCCAAAATAAGTCAAAATACCGTGACTGAGCCCCTTTAAGGTCCAGAAACCATTATCGCGTATTGGTGCTGACCATGTTTGTGTCAAATTGTAGTGATTGATCGTGACTGAAGTACACGAGCTAAAGTTGTGTGAATGTACGAAATTTGTGTTTCGCTGAAACATAACACAAGACTAACACCTGGGTGATTAACAGACATCGTTGAGCCTAAACTGTCCGTAAAATGCGCCAGCGTTGTGTCCAAACTGTCCCAAACTGTGCCAGCGCTGTGCCTGAACCGTGCATCAATTGTGCCTTCGCTTTTTATTCTGTGTGCTAATGCACAAAAACTCTTGTTTCAGCGAAACACAAATTTGGTTTATTTCCACAGTTTTAGCTGGTGTACTTCACTCAATGCATCACTTCAGTTTGACACAAACATGGCCAGCACCAACACACGTTGACGGTTTCTGAACCTGAAGCCGACTGGAAATGGAAACTACTTTGTAAAATTTCTGACTCGTTTTATTTTGTTCGGGAGACTAGGGCGAACCAAATGCATTAGTAACCGTGACTTCTGGTTAGGGTACCGGGACAGAATTTTTCAGTCGGCCATTTTGTTGGTGAAGTGGACGAAATATGGCCTTCTGATTGGTCCATTAACATTTTCCTGCAATGAGATTGATTCACTGCCCCTCTAAGCGACCCTTACTACTAGTTAGCTACCTCTCGTTATTTAAACGGTAATTTGTTTTTGAGAATAAATCTGGTGGAGATTAGAGTTAAGACTTGGAAAGAAATGCCAAGAGAATGCATTGTCGTTTTACTTATGTACGATTTATTCTGTGCTGTTCGTGTAGTTCATACTGAAAAAGGTTCATCTTTTTTTTCCAGGTTACTAGGAGAAGTTCCTCATGTCAGCTGTCTTCTCCAGGAAAGCCACAAGAGACTTTGCTAACAGAAAGTTTGATCAGCGGACAGTCTAGGGAAAATAGAGAATTAGATGGAAGTCAGCAGAGAGAACAGAGCGTGTACTCTGTGAAGGAAACAACTGAAGAGCACAAAAATGTTTCAAGTGCTTTGCTTTCAGGTTTATCAGCCAACAACTCTTGTGCTATGCAGGATTCCCAGAAAACCTGTTCTTTGCCAGTACAGGGAACTGACAAACCTAGCACCCCTTCTAGAAGAACACCCCGTTCTTCCAAAAGACTACTGGCACCGAGTTTCTTTGCAAAGAGAAGCTAACACACTTGATTTTTACTTCACCCAAGCATCTCAGAAATTCTTGCTACAGTTTTTACGTTTCTTTTCCAAGCTAATTAGCCTGTAGAGCAGGCGAGGGCCGAAGCGCTGTTGCTAAATATGAAAGTCGATCAAAGCGAGCCGTATTGTTGTTTCAGCGTAACCTATGCCACTGACCAATCCATAAGTCAACGAAAAATAAATTTTAGAAACTTCACGGAACTATTAAGTTATCTTTTTAAAGATTGACCAGCTTCTGGTGCCGTCGATTGATAATTTGGCCACCCCTTTGTAGCCAATTAGATTGCGTATATATCTGGTAGACAGTAAGTGTGTGATACTAATATGCACTTACTGGTCCCGAGGGACACAGTTCTGTTTTCCCGAAAATCACGTTTCCCTCGACTTCGTCTCGTGAAACATAGAGTGTCGAGGGAAAACAAAACTAACTGTTTCCCAAGGGACCAGTAATTCACTGTTTTTTTATATAGCTGGAGTAGTGGGAAGTAAGTTTAGTGGGAAAGCGGGCAACCATTGCATAAATGTCGCCCGCCGGGCGACATCTAGATTTAGCCATTGCCACGTGACCATAAATAACTCGGTAAGAGCTCACGTTAGATTCCCCTAACTCTATATAACATTATAGTTCACCACTAAATTTTCTCCAATTCTTATTGGTTTAAATTGATCATGTGATGCGATAGTGTTCATCCGCGGAGAGACACTATCTGCCCATACTGCCCGTCCGAGGAAAATACCCGGATAGATAGTACTCGTCCTTGAAAATTTTTCAGTAAACAAGCAGAAAAATTTTCTGCAACAAGTAAATTTTTTCTGTACACAAATTTTTCCGTAATCATCTAATAAGGTTGAAAATAATTCAATACGATTTTTGAACTGGCGCGCGGAAGAAAATTTAGGGGTGAACAATAAAGACAATAGGATGTTTATGTCTCGGAACTATCAGTCTGATAGTTGCCCCTTGGAAATTTGATGTTCTTAAAACTAGCATATTTGCCCTAGAAGCTTCGCTTCTCGGGCAAGTTTTTGTTTTAAGAGCATCAAATTTCCGCAGGGCAACTATCAGCCAATGTTCCTCGACAGAAACACTCTATTGTTTAAATAGCAGATACTCCCGGCTGAAAGATGTAGATTGATGTTCTTATACACTAACTAACCAATTTCCTCTTTGCAATGTTACACTGAGAAAAAAACCCTGTTTAACAATTTAGTTAATATTACTTTTTTTGCGATCAGGTCATTTCACATAATAAAGGATATACACGGACAACGCAATTAAATATGAATAGCATTCTGTTACGACCCAAGTATTTAAAGATATTTCAGGAGACTTGAGTCTTGGATTGTGTTAGGGGCCGATAGATACATCTTGGTTAGCAAGTAAACAAAATGTTTTGTTTACTTGGTTCAAGTAAACAAAATGTAAGTCACATTAATTTGTTTATGTGTTAACTTCGTTGAGGGGTGGGCGAGAGAGCACATAAACTCCTTTGCCGGGTAGGGGAGGCTATATAGCTAGTGACCATTGGGGAATACTGAGAAATTGCCCCCTTTCCACTCCGTAGAGTTTTTGAGCGCTATTGTGTTTCAGACAGTAGATCAAGATCTCAAAACAAACATGGCGTCGTATGTCGTGGTTTTCAAGACGGTAAAGTTTTAGTCAGGCGTAAACAGGAAGACGTTAAAACAATCGGATGATAAAGCAATGTCATACCCAGAGCCCGCGTCCCCCTAGACCAGCAGTCAGGAGACTCTGGCATCAACGATTGAAAGTAAGTAAATTCCGCACATCCGGGCTTTATGTGCAAACGCAGACTCCTGGGCGCTGAGCTTCTGCACGTGCCTTAGCATTGTCAGAGCATTCTTGGTACTAAATTAATCTAAGTGTTTTCCACGAATTGAAGTGATCGAATTGTCTTGAACTTTGAAAACTGAATCGTACAGAGAGTTAAAGAATGAACCATGCAGTATAATAAATGCAGCTTGCTCAGATAAAGGGGATACATGTATGGGACATTATGGCTGTTCTTCAGGCAGAATTTTTGACAAATCCTTGCATAGTCGTAAACAACAGAATCAGGGTCCCTGTTTAATGTACTGATGCAGGACGTAAGAGAAGTGATTTGAAGTGTTGGGGAGGAAGCACCAGTCAATTCAAAACCCAAAGGGCTTTGATTCTCGCCAATTGAATAAAGGTAATTGTTGACTGTAAAAATGTAGGACTTTCAGTGAAGAGTTGGTACAATGGGTGCTCACCATTCAGCCAAGAAATCCGAAACTTTCTGTTGAAAGTCACATGGAACAGCAATTTTCCGGAAAATCCGTTCGGAAATAGTAGACTTCCTCCAGAGGTAGTTCTCTTTCTCCGTTCGGAACGGAACGGCGGAAATTTCCTTACCATTTGCTTAATTTTCCAGTTCAGGTCAACCGAAATCAGCCGAAAACATTATTTGTAAACGGTAAGCGCCATCTCGATCGGTCGGTTTGCTGATATTGGAAAAACCCTTACCATTATTCAACGGTCGCCCCAACCGGTTTATTCAGTCAAACGATAATCACCCAATGTTTCCCTCCAGATTATGAGGATATTAGCCTTCTTTCAAGCTTGGTTCTCTTTGTACTCTTTGTACTCTCGTTGCACTTACAGGCTAAAACAACAGAGTGCAAGAGTGATTTCGCATGTTCATTTACAGGGTTTATAACAAAGCTGAAATAATTTTAGTCTGTTGTTTCCAGTTTGAAGAAAAAGGATATGTCCTTTACCCTTACTTTGTAAACCCAAAGACAGCCTCGGAAGGATTTGTCTTTATGAGCAAATCGCCCTTCCTCGGAATCCGAGGTTGTTCACATACAGGTACATGACAACATGAGATACAGCTGCTGTAACTCAGGAGGGCTGGAGGAGATGGGCTACCATCTACTTTGAATTCAAAAGGTTTATGACATTTGAAACCGACATTTTTCATGTTATACATATGACAAAGGTGCTAAAAAAGATTGTGAGGAGTTTGTATGTTGTATGACGGCATAAATATTACAACTGTCATTCACCTTCACCTTCAACCATCTCTGTTGTGATAGGTGTCACATAAGGCCTCATGGTTTCTGTAATAATTTATTCTTTACAGGAGAAGGGCATTATCCCCGGGCCCATCCTCCAACCTAGAGAATGAGCTCAGTTTTTCGGTAAGGGTTTCTTCCCCTCAAACGACTGTATTGTCAGTGCTAATTAGCTCCATCTACCCTGGTTTGAAATCGTAGTTTCCCTCTGCTACGTGATTTAATTGTCTCACCGACTGGTTGGCAAGGGCTGTTGACAAGTGGATCCTTAGCATGGAATGAAGGCGCCACCCAACACCTCCCTCTTCTATGGTATGACCACCGCCACGACTGGTTCTTTGGCATGTGCCTTATTCGCGGCCAACCTTCATATATGGAGGTCATTCCCCTATCCGCTACCGATGGCGCCCGTGGCCGCTCCACAGCACAAGTATCATTAATTTACAAATAATTATTAAGCTTATTAAGGAGTAAAACTTGCTTTGATTATTACTACTGATATTTACACCTAAAAGTGTTACGCACAGTACTTTATAGGTAAATAACTTTTTGAAATAACTGACATATTACGCGCGCTTTGATTGGTCAAAAACCTATCGTTTATTGTACCGGTAAACACTTGGTTTCCGATACGCAGCACCACGTGAGAAAAAGAGAACTCAGAACATTAGGGAAAACATAAGCTTAATATATATTTTCGGCTTTCACTGGCTGAGATATCAATAACACGAATATCTTTTTACCCAGGCAGTGAGGTTTAAACTTCAGCTCTCTTTATGAAGGGAAAACCGGAATTCAAAAAAGTCGCTTAAATCATGTCAAATCGGCAAAATAACGACACTAGGAGTAGAGAACACACGTATGGAATAAGGTAAGTCATTTTTATTGAGAATTTTCACTTTTAACTACCTCCATGGATATTTTGTAGACAATCCCATATAAACCCTTATAATTCGATGTCATATCGTGTTGCTTAGAATCTGATTCTTCGATGAAGATACGCTTGTATCCTCGCCTTACATCACGAGATAATCTAATCGGCGCGTGTCGCGGGTCGCGGGTAAATTGTCGCGAGTCCGAAAAATTGCACTTTTATTGTTTCCTAGTTTTCCAAAAACAATAACAATAACAATAGCTTTAAAATTAGCGGGTAATAAATTGTAGAATTTCAGTTTATTATTATTTGCAAGAAGTAGGGAGCATAACAGACAACAAACTCGCAAAATTCAAACACATCCCTTCAGCTAGACAAACGACGAACCAACGAAGTTCAAACGCAAGAAAAAAAAATAAATTGGTGATAAATAGTGATTAGAGCGCTCGTAATAAGTGGTCGTCAAAAATTCGGCAGTTCATTTCATCTCAAAATTCTTGGCACATTGTGATGGCCAGTTCTATAAACTTTAATTTGATATAAGGGTAGGTACCTACAGCTTAAACCGGACGCGCTAGCCTTCATCGCTTGGACGCGAGACACCCCTGAAGGTATACGGTAACCTTAATTACTTTTGAGACAAAAATTCGGAAGTTTAATTCTATACTGTGAATTGCCCTGGTTAATACAGTTGCTAGATGGACAATTGCTATGTCTGGTTTAGGCCGAATTTTGTAATCAATCTCGTAATGCGCGTAAATTTTTTTAACACGTTATTTGAGATAATTTTCACAACGGCTACGACTGATGATGCAATAATACAGTTTGTGTTGATCAAGTGATGTGGTGTCTACAGTAATCACTGAATCATCAAGGATTACTTTGGAATGTGCACTGCGTTGCGATTGTAGTGCTAAGAAGACAGTTAAATTTTAAAAGCGCGGTTATAAGATCTAACATCTGTAACCAGACCCAAGCTCCCTCTCGGCCAAATTTTGAGTCACGCAACGTGTCATGTTTGTTCGCCAAAAGCTGTTGAAACATTAATACACGGACAATTTTACGGATATTGTTTTCTTTTTTGTGGGTAAAATATCTTTCCTTTTGGTTTTATCGAAGCGTTGGATTCAAAAGGAATAATAAATGTGTAAAAAAAGGTATTACGTCAGCCATGGAATGCGCTGACGTTGCAGCTGTCACTTTCGCTACATGACGAATAAGATCGTGTTTACTTTGTAAGTTTAGTGTTTGTATCTTCATGCCCATACATGTACACATCCCGAAGAAAGTTTCTGATTAAGACTATTACGTCATCGGAGATTTCACAACGGCTACGACTGATGGTGCAATAATACAGTTTGTGTTGATCAAGTGATGTGGTGTCTACAGTAATCAATGAATCATCAAGGATTACTTTGGAATGTGCACTACGTTGTGACTGTAGTGCTCAGAAAACAGTTAAATTTTAAAAGCACAATTATAAGATCTAACAGATCTTCTGTTTTTTTTTGTCGATGACCAGACGCAAACTTCCTCTCGGCCAAATTTTTCAATCATGCAACCTGTGATGTTTATTCGCGAAAAACTGTTGAAACATTATAATACACGGACAATGTTACGGATATTGTTTTCTTTATTTGTGTGTAAAACATATTTTCTTTTGGTTTTATCAAAGCGTTGTATTCGAAGGGAAATAAGAAATACGCTAAAAACGCTAAAAGGGGTATTACGTCAGCCATGGAATGCCCTGATGTTGAA